ATTTTACTCAGGTCTTATTTAGGTAGTTGCTATATTTTGGTTCACACCCAGTGGACGAAAGAGTAGAAAGCATTCATCAAACTATCAATTATCAAGTACCTAAAAAGTACTAGCTTTAACAACCAGAAGGAGAGAGAGAACACAAGAGATTTCCCTGCCACAGAGGCAGGGTGGGATGGGGGGGATGGAGGTGGGAGGGATATTATCCAAGGTGGTGGAAAATGGGCACTGGTGGAGGGATGGGTATTTGATCATTGTATAATCGAAACCCAAGCACAAAAAATTGTATATCTACAACTGTACCTCATGGTGTTTCACTAATAAAAGAAAAAAGTACCAGTTTTTTTTCTCTTCCAAATGCTAGAGAAATTCTAGCTCCAGTTTTTGAGAACTTTCCATTCTCACTAGAAAACTTACTCTACTCCAGTAAATAGGTAACTGTGGCTGCCTACATGTGAATGTACTTGAAAAGGATATCAGTGATAATCTGTACAATTTCCAGCACAGTAGAGAAATCTTTATACTAGAACATCTTTATGAGTTTACCATAAAACTTTTGCTTGGATGATCAGAAATAAGGGAGATCAGTACTACGCCTTTACCATTTTGAATAGGTCCAAACATTGAAACTTAAGTTTTCTGACTTTCACAATGCTTGGGTAGACTTATATCTCCTTCTCAATTTACATAAGCATCCTGTCACCTAACTGGACTAAATACATCCACATTTAATTGTTCAAGATATAGTATGTTCTCAGTAATTTTAATGTCCCCTCAAGGGTCATACTATTGAAAATTATCTCTCTATATGGAGAGACCAAAAAAAAAACTCTCAGAATATAGGAAACCATAACTTCCCATTTCACTCAAGCATTTTAGGACTGAAATATTCTTAAATGTCATGGTCACTGTAACTGGTGGGTTACAGTGCTCTGCTTCTTTCAAGATATTTCTTGTCATTATTCATTGACCTTATAACTAAATATGAAGGGTGATGTGCTGAAATGTGTGGAAAACAGGTGATCAGGCAAGCCTAAGTGAAATTCTATCAGTTCTTGAGATTAAGTGCAATGCTACATGACTTGCTAATTTTAATTTTTATTCATCAGATTTAGGTATCAGTTTAGAGGACTGTCCAGGCCAAATGCAGAATACCAAGATTATAGGATTAAACAATGTCATTATCATTCAAATAAAATTACTGACACTATACTTTATGTGAACAAGGTCATTATAAATTATTATTTCATCCAAATATGAATAGTTGCTGACAGGATATAAAGTATTAGATTATACATAAGTATTTCATAATTTCTTAGAAAGTGCTGATTTCTTTGATTTATATCCTGAATATTTATTTTACATAGCTTCTGTTCAACTGAAGTAATTTAGAAGTTATTAGAAATGCAGTTTTTTAATTCTTATGAATATTAAAAATGTTCCAGATAACTCTATTATAACCAACGATCAGTAATTATTCTACCCTAAGAAACAAAAATAATATCTTTTCATATTATATTCATTGTATTTGTGTATGTATACACAGTTTTGGAAAATGCTACAGCTATTTATAATTAATACAATTTCTAAAAAGTGTTCAGAGGAGATTAAGGAATAGGAAGTATAACTCTAAGCAAAATTATGCATTGTTGATATCATAATGTGAAAGACATGAAAATGGGTAGGAGGGACAAGATGTACTTTTCCTGTGTTAACTTATATGTATTGACATACATATTAATTGAATTGAGAACCAAAGACTATGTAGCAGTAAAAAGAAATTTCAGAATTAAACACCTATTTAGAAATTTAACACTAAATTAAAGAATTATTTTTTATTTGGAAATTCTTTCAATAAATAGAAATCTAAAATAATGACAACAATAATAATTATGGTGTTTACAAGGCTTTGGAAATTTCAATATTCCTGAGGTTCTGCTTGAAGCATATAAAACGAAAATGATGTAGTCACAATTTGTTTCTTGACTATTTTATATTCAGTAATTTTTAATGAAGTAACTAAATTAGGCATAACTTAGTGCAGCTTTAATGTAGTTATGATGAATATATTTTACTTGATTAAAAATTATAAGACCAAGGAACCTTAAATATTATCTTAAAAGATTAACTTACTGTGTCAATTGAAAAACTGGAGTAAAGGTATTTATAAGGGAATGACTGTCCTTAGGAGTAACTTCCTTTTGTTCACTTTATTTAATTAAAGACTGAGGCTACTCACTCTTAACAAGAAATTGTTCCAGATTACACATTGGCTGACAAATGTAAGTACGTACAGTGGGGAAAGTCAGTTTAACACTAGTGAAGATTCAACAACTAATCCATTTTTAAAGTCTACTCAAAGGGGAGTAAACTGCTTGGCAGTGTACTGTGATTTAATTAACTAGTTGCTGGTTTTACATTTCTTTTGTTTGTTTCATGACATAACCTAAATAAATGACAGTAAAAGTCAAATTATTTGGGCACCTAAAATATGGGGCCTTTTCCTGCCAATGGGTAGACTAAAGAATAGGATTCTCAATATGTTAAGAATGAGTAGATGTTTCAGAATTTCACCTGTCAGTCAAGTGACTTGGAGTCTGAGAGATAGTGTAGTGGGTAGGGCACTTGGCTTACATATGGCCAACCTCAGTTTGATCCTCAGCATCCCATATGGCCACCTGAGCCCTACTAGAAGTGATCTCTGAGCACAGAACCAAGAGCAAGCCAAGATCTCACTGCCTCCTCCTTCCAAATCAAGGTGACCAATTCACCTACTATACAGAGGGAAGTAGATATGATCATCTATAGTATGTAGGTTTATTTTGTCTAGTGATAGGGTCAGAGAATATTTATTAAAACATGCATGGGATGCTGGGAATTGAACCCGGGTGGGTCACGTGCAAGGCAAACGCCCTACCCGCTGTGCTATTGCTCCAGCCCCCAAAAAACATGCATGAAATTTTAACTAAAATACAAATAAATAGTCCTGGACTACTTTAATCTAAGGAATAAAAATAATTTGGTATGTTCCTCTAAATAGGTGCACTTCTTTTCCTAGCAACTAGAATTAATGGCAGTTCCACGGCTATCTTCCCAACTAAAATCCTGCACCTTCAACAAATAAACAATACCCCATAATCATTACCAAATACTGCACAAAAAGACAAAAAAAAAAATACGTTTTCCCTTACATTCTTGTAGTGACCACAATGCCAGTTGGGGAGAATCTTCAAATACAAATAAAAATTGATTTGCTTGACAAAAGAATGCATTAACGATTATTATTATTTTTATGTTGATGACTGGGCCTGAGAGTTAGTACAGGGGTTCAGGTGCTTTCCTTGCTCGTGGACTGCTCGTGAGTTTGATTCTGACACGACCTCTCTCCTCACTGTCAGTAGTGGTTCCTGAGCACAGAGCTGGGAGTTTGCCCTGAGCAACGCCTGAGCACCACTGGATGAGGTTCTCCAAAGCAAATAAAACTAAATCTCAGTGTTTTTGCTGTTGTAGCTATGGGAACCAGAAAGCCTATGAAAGATGCTTTTTTGTTTGTTTGTTTTCTGTTTAAATGTTGGTAGTGGGGGGCGGGTTGGAGATAACCTAGGAGTGTAGTAGGCAGAGGAAGTGACCTGGAGCTGTTGGTAGCAACACTCTGGAAGTGGGTGTGGTGTATGCCTAAAACCCTAGTTTAACGTTATTGACTACCTAAGTGCATACCAAAAAAAAAAAAAAAAAAAAGGGCAGAAAAAATAAATAAATAAAAGAATGGACTACTTGCGCGGGACTGTATTTTGGTGTTGCTCAAAGTGCTGGAAGTTGATTTGCATTCTTCCACCGCTAAAACTGAGACGTGCATCCTCACGGAAACTCCAGTTTGAGTTTACCGCAAACGGATTCGGGAGAGCTCTGCTGCTCTCAATTCAAAACTACCTCGGGGGTCGCAGGCTTTGCGGGATGTATCTGACACCTGGGACTCCGGGAGTCCCGCGCCTCTCGCTCCGAAGGGTCAGCACCACCGCCCCTCCTCCTCTCGGAGTGGACTTGGCTGTCACCTGCAGATCGGCCCGGCTGTCCCTCTCCACCACTGCCCAGCTCCGACGCACTCAAAGCCCCAGTTTTCGGTCCCTTGCAAGCTTGCGGCTCCCGGGTCCCCAGCCAGCCCCGCCCCTTGGCTCCGATCCCGTCCCCTCCCCCCTCGGTCTCCGCCGCTCCGAGAGCTGCCGGGCGCTGATTGGCGGAAGCTCTGACAGGAGGCGGGGCCTGGAAGTCCCGGCCAAACCCGCCCTGGCGTATAAGCCCCTTCTCGGCTCCGGCTCTCTCCATCTCTCTCTCCTCTCTTTCTCTCTAGCTCCCTTCCTCCCTGCAACTGCACAGTGAAAATTCACATTGTGGATCCCGCTAACAGGCACAGATGTCATGTGAAAACGCACATGCTCTGCCTTCCACGCCGCCTTTCTTCTTCCTTTTCTTCCCGTTCCCTTTTTGCCTCCTTGCTCCTTCTTCTCCCTCGTCTTTGTAACTAACAAAACCACCACCAACTCCTCCTCCTCCTCCTTCTCCTCCTCCTCCTCCCGCTGCTGTGCCCTTCCTCCTTCCTCCTCCTCAGTCCAAGTGATCACAAAAGAAATCTTCTGAGCCGGAGGCGGTGGCAATTTCTTTCTTTCTTTCTTTTTTTTTTTTTTTAAAGCAAGCACATTGGAGAGAAAGGAAAAGGAAAAAAAAAAAAGCAAAACAAAATCCAGGCACCAGCCAGGCAGCACATTTTTTTTTCCCACCCTTCCTGAAAAACAAACAAACATTAAAACAGTCACTACCACCAACCATCAAAACTGTTCACATAGCGGCGGCGGCGGCGGCGGCGGCAAACGTCACCCTCCGGCCACCACGGCGTCCGCCTAAAGGGATGGTTTCCTCGGCGGAGCAGCAGTGCGCCGACCACCTTCTTCACTGGTGCTGAGCGGAATTTTGGGGGCTCTCCGGGGTTCGGGCAGGGAGCAGCTTCATGACTACGCGGAGCCCGAGAGCGGCCACACCATGCGAGGTAAGGCAGCCCTTGGGGCACCGAGGCTCCCCGGGCAGTTGGGGCGGTGGGGGACGGCAGGGGGGCGCCCCTCACCGACTGGCAGAGAGGTCGGTGCCCGAGTTCGCGGTCGAGGCTAGCCTGCAAACGTCCTCGGCGTTCGGAGAAAGTTGTGCAAGGTGTGGATGCCTCTTTGGAGTTCTCGGAGCGACGCGGGAGGGCGCATTGCAAGAGGGGAGCGACCCAAGTTGCATGCATGCTCCCAGTGCTGGAGTTGCAGGGGACCTGGTGGAAATGCAACTCAGGGGTGCGGGAGCCGACGACCCCACACGGAGGGGAACCGGGTTCAGACGCCTGGAGGGAGGCAGACGTGTGGGTGCAGCGCCCAGCGGACCGTCTGGGCGCGCAGGGCCCCGGCGGGCGAGCGCACACGCTCCCCCAGGTTCCTAGGTCGCGCGTGGCGATCCGCAGAGACGCTGCTTCCCTGCGTGGAAGTGGTAGGCAACGGGTCAACATCGTGGGGCTGGACACGTAGTCGGGGTTCACCCCAGGACCCCACAAGAGTCAGAGCAGGACGGGATCTTTCCCCAGCCCCTCTTGGACGCGCAAATCGGCGGGTGCCGGGAGGGCAGATGCCCCGCGCGCGTCTCCTGGGCTCAGTGCCCTGGCCAGGGACGAGCGCTTCTCGGGAAAAGTTTTACGGAGAAAGTTTCAGAGGAGAGAAGAGTGCGGCTGCCCGCTGCGGGGGAGGGGTCATTCGTCAAAGGGTCGCTGCAGGAGGGGTTGCAGAGTGAATAGTCCGAGCCGGACAGCTGCCCGCCGCGACGGCGCAGGCTGCAACCCTCGGGGCGGGATTAGCGGCTCCGGGCAGCGCTGGGGGTGGGGTGGGGGTGGGGGCGCCAGGGGACTGGACCCTGACTCCAGCTGCAGGGTCGCCGTCGGGCTGCCCGAAAGGCAAGTCTGGGCGGCTTTTAGGGGGTCATTTTGTATTCTTCCTCCAAGCTGCCAACATCTTCGGGTTTCTGCGCACGATGATGCCTCTTTCTTACTTGCTGCCTGCACAACTTCACTTTTTATTTGGAAGAGTTGGATGGGTGCCCAAGGGCATGGGAATATGGACAAGTTCTGGGCCCCAACCCCACTTCCCTGTTGTTTTGTTGTTGTTGTTGTTGTTGTTGTTGTTGTTGTTTTTCTTTCTAGCTGCCCCGTGGTTTGCCCGGGACGCATCAATTCTCCTTTCCTTTCCAATATCTCTCTGGGGATGCTGGCAATTGAAAGTTAGAAAGGCTGGTCTGGGACTGGCCAGTCCCGGAGCCGTGACAGGTGGACTAGGAGGGAAGAAATTGGGAGAAGTCTGTCTGCAAAGGTGCATTGCCTGCCACCTGGCTGCATGTCTTTCCTGCCAGATAGTAAGGCCCCCACCCTCTCGAGTTCTTCCTGGAGAAGGCTGAGGGCATCTTCCTCTGCATCCCTGAGCCCCAAGCCCAGATACTAGGACATCAGGCATCAGGATGTGGCAGGAGAGAGTGGAAGGAAAAGGTGAGAGCATTTCCAGGGAGGTGAGTGGAAGGGAAGTCTCTGAAATAAGGGAAAGAGACATGCTGATGGGTGGAATGGCCTTGGATACGTGCGCGCTAGAAGTGAATGAGAGGTTATGCCTCCCTCCTTTGGGGGATTGTCACTGCTCAGTGTGTCACTGCTCACAGTCTTTTAGGAAACTATACTTTTGGTCATTGGCACTTTCACTTTAGAGTTTTTGAGTGAGAGAAACTTAATCTTTGTCTCTTCCTTCCATTTCACCATCACGCCTTTCAGTTTCCCATGATCCACTCTGGAACTGCCACTTCTCCCTTTCCAACATTTCCCCTCTGGCTGTGGTTCTTGTGTTCTGAGGGTCTGAAATCACGTGTCTCCATCCCACCCCACCTGTTCACACAGCTTTAGGTCTTGCGGCGGAAGAGCTTCTCACTAGTTCTTTAGATGGTATAGAACAGAGACGCCTAGGTGGGTTGTAGCTTGATCCAGCTTCTCCTGAAGAAGCAGATTGGCAGGGAGAGATGTGTCATCCCTCTTGTTTTGATGAACCAGCAAATTGAAGAACTAAAAACCAAGGGCTTGCATTAAGTTCGGGTTGAGAACCCCGTCAAAGTGTGCCACCCCAGGCAGAGGGCACCACCTCTGTCAGTCTGCATCGGAGAACTCATAAATTCTCACTTAAGCAGACGCCTTCAGGTTGCCAGATGGGATGTGCTAGAGAAAAACTCAAGAGGACCAGGAGGGGGTGAGAGTGGGTGAAGGATCTTTCTTAGTACTCTGCTTTCTTTCTTGATTCTTTGCTTTCTCTTCTTTGAGTCCCTGTTTATTTCTTTCCAAATATACCCCCAGCTCCTCATCCCACAACCACAATGCTATCCTTTAATGATGGAATGAGAAATGATCAGACTTCTTTGACATCCTATAGGAATTAGGGGTTGAACATGAACATGAACTTGGGACATAAGAGCAGAGACGAATTTTGTCTTGTACCTGAGTTATGCAGCAGAGTCAATTTAGAGGATGGCCCCTTTTTTTTGAACTTAGCTTTACAGTATGCTACACACACACACACACACACACACACACACACGCATGCATGCACACACACGCATGCACGCACACACACGTGAATACACACAGAATGCCCCAGTGGTCACTGCAGCTCCTGACTTCCAGGCTTTGCAGTTGGCAAACATTCTGCATCAAGGCACTTGAAGAAGCATGAGCTTGGTCTAGGTCTAAGTCTGAGCCAACCTAGCAGAACGTTCCTCCCCCTCAACACACACACTCCTACCTAAATCTTGCCCCCACCCGGTATAGGGTATTGAAGAGTTTTTACTCCCTAGGAAGCTCTGGGGTGAGAAAGAGGTTAGGAGGCTCTGATCTTTGATGTCATCCTGCCCCACAGTGGAACTGAATCCTAGCAAGGTGGCAGCTTCCTGTGGGACTGATCCTGGGCAGAGGACGTTGTATTTGGTGGCACACAAAGCATGTCACCCTTTGTCTCCTACAGATTCTCCATGAGTTCTAGAGAGGCTTCTTCATACATTGCACTATTGAAAGGAATAACTCTGACAGCGAAGGAGAATACTTTTAATTGGGTCCGTACCTAGGTGAGAAACGAGTGAGCCAAGGTGTTGGTTCCCAGACTCCTTTCTCAGAGAACTGTTCACAGTTTATTACATAGGAGCACCGAAATAGTCTGATTTTTTTTCAGCCTCTGCAGAAAACCCTGCTTCCAAAAACAGGGGCACAGATGTCGCCCCAATCAATAGGTGATTGTGGCTCAGGCGGATTAGAAATCTGGTTTATGCTTGCTGTAAACAAGGACGGGGCTTGGCTCTTCTAAAGCCTGGTTTTCATATCTTATCTTCAAGTCGTTATTTATCTTTTATTACTTGCTAAATATAGGGGAGGGGGAAGGTAACTTGCTCTCAGAAGTCTAGAGTTTTGAATGTCCTTGGGCTTCAGATTTCCTAAACGGTTTCTTGATCAAATTTCCTGTACAAATTCCAAATTGTAATATTCTAACCAATTTTCTGTCTTCCATAAGTGAAAATCAAAATCGAGAAATACATGCCTGTGAATAGTGCATTAGTATCTGTTCATGAGATAATCATCAATACATTATTTTGAGAAAAAAAATAAGCATTCAGACTTTGAGAATGAGAATACATAATTAAAATGAAATATTTCCTTAGATGGTAATATGTTAGGTTTTTCTCATTTATCCTCCCACAAATACTGACTGAGTTTGCAGCAAGTATTGTGATGGAAGAATTGTAGTAAGTGACATCCTGACTTCTGGTATAGATATTAGTACAACTGAAGCGCTTTACTTTTACATATTCCTGGCTAGTCAGAAATTAAGAAAATAAGATGAAAAATATAAAAGATAAAATGGACCACAGTTCTCATAAATATGAGGATACAGATTGAAACTCCTTTCCTGGTAAACATTTAAAACTTAGAAGTACCGAATTTTCCACACATAAGAATATAGATTTTACTCCTTAAAAAACCCCTAAATGATGGCAAATTTTATAATTTTTTAGTGATTTATGTGAAACTTTAATATAAATAACATGCATGTTTTATACTCTTACTTAAATATCAGTTCTACATATACCTACTTGGCTAACAATGTGTTAAATACTAAAGCATTGATAGCCTTAAAGGCAATTATTAGGTGTATATGTCCTTGTATCTTAAATTTAAGAATTTCAGAGTCACAAAATAATTTTATACTATCCAAGATTTTACGGGACATGAACATATGAAGTTTCAGGTCTGATCTTCATGAAAGTGGAAATTTTCCATTTAAATTGTATGAGCCCACCTACTTTTCTCCTTGAAACTATGTACAAAATTATTACTAATCTTAAGGGACTCAATACTGAAATTTTTTTGCATAAAAAGACAAGCAAAACTTTTTTTTCATCTATTAACTCATATTTTATATGTATTCATTTCCACTTTCTGGGAATGTAATGTGTTCGCCATACTTTTTTGTTATAATAGTCCTACAGAATAGCACTGTGGATCACAACACATTAAATATATATATTATTTCACTGTAATGAATGTCTCTAATTTAAAGCAAATATAACATCTGATTAATAGTTAAAAATTTTCTAATAAAATATTAAGTTAAAATTTTCACTATACTGCAAGTGTTCTTGCAATATCGTGCAGATTTGTAAATAAAATGAAGTTTCAAGTAGTAAACATCACCACTAGTGAGTGTCATTGTATACTAGTGAAATATAGTATTAACAGATGAATATATGATGTAGTGGGAGAATTAATTCCAAAATTAAGATAATCAATTTTTAGCAAATTGATAGAAATCAAAGATTAATGATCACTCAATATTAATGCAAGAGTTAATCATGATTAAAATTAATTAACTTATATATTTTTGTCATTTTAATAATAGGAAGAAAATTACTTAATACTGAACAACTTCTGTTTATGCCACAAAA